GACCTTGTTGTGCGCCTTCTTTTCACCCTCGGGAATCTCACAGCCAAAAGTGATGAGGCTCGGCAGCAGCTCTTCCAGTGCAAGGCCTGCATGGACACACTCCTGCAGCTATACGACAGCTACCAGCGCAGAGACGTCTCGCCCGCACAGAAAGGTCCCCCTTCCTCCAGCAAGCGTCCTGCACCTCCACTGAATGTGCAGGAGGACGAGGATGTGCTGGTGAAGCTGGTCAGGGTGCTGGCGAACATGTGCATCCACCCAGCTGTAGGTCCAGCTCTGGTTACCAACACAAGCTGCATTCAGCTGCTCATGGAGACAATCGGTGAGCAGAGAGCAGGAGGAACTCATCCTTTTTAAGTTAGTCTTTGCTTAACAAAATCATTTATTAAGAAATAGAAGATACAGCCAATAGCAGATTTACAGTCGTAGCATTTCTACATTTGTCCTTTTTGCCCATTTCTGTCGTACAAAGGAAGCAGAGTGTGAATATCTGGTGTAAAAATAGCTGTTTGCTGAACTGTACATACAGTATGTATCTGCTAGGCACCAAACCACTTCCCTTGTGCTGGAAACATTAAGACATGACTTTGGTCGAAAACACACTCCTCATTTGTCGTTTCATTCCATCGCTCGCTTTCCTCTCAGTGCTGCCTGTTCGATACGCAGCACATCCTCTTTTGGTTTACCTAAGCGCTTCACTGCATGAGCAGGATGTTCTGTCACATCTCACAGCCGACTTGGTTTGTGCGTGTGAAATTCTCCCATGTGGTTAGATGGTTTAAGGACAGATTGAACTGACACACAGGTGGGTGTGAAACTCTCGATTTCTCTGCTGCCTGCCTCCTACACACGTTTCATGGCAGTTGGGTGGGAAAATTAAACAAACAAAACAGAGGTCAAACTAGTGGAACAATTTTAGAATCTCAAAACATAGAGGGGTGTTTGATTGGTACCAGAGGGTAAGATGGGAAATAAATTAAGTAACTGTAGACAGAAACATAAAATGAGCCAATGAATATGGGTTTGGTGTGACAGGTGGAAACAACAGTACAAGATGAAAGAGCACACTTGGCTGATCGATGTCCTGTTTTGATCAAGCTGTGCTGCTTTACATTACAGATGGGGGCACAGGCGCTGCTTGACACCGACCACAATATCCGCGATTTATGACCGAGCACACGACGTCAGCTGCTATATCAGGAACAGACTCTGTTACCAAGCAGCTCACAGTGTCATCGCTGGTTGGATTGGGTCATATTGACCTTTGTATGCCGGCTCATGAGGCCAAAATTAACAACAGATAACAGCTACTTTTATGATAATGTCACAGTGTCACATCAGTGTGATTGAGCTGTAATATGCAAAAAGGCTGAAAACCCAGTTCACTGTATTTCTGCATGTGTTTATCTTATCTAAATTATTCTATAATTGTTCTATTTATCTCTACGTTTTCATGCATATCTATTTACATCTGCACTGCATATGGAAATATGAACCAACATCTTAATACTGAGTGCCACCCAGTTTACACAATCCATGGTGCAGTTGTTTTATTAATAATCTAATCTAATTAATAATCTACCTTTACTTTATCTTCTTCCCCTCATCAACACGAACTGACGCACAGCTTTCACCTGTATTCACCTGGTTAGTCATTATCACGGAAAGAGCAGTTTATTTTGAGTGAGTATATGCAGTGCAAGACAATGAAAAGTTGAATTTTTATTTTCTCATCTTATGTTGAGACTAGACACCAGAATCAGGGTCACTTCACATAAATGAGTCGTGGACCATGCAGTGTGGATTCCCCCTCTGTTGGCTTTGTTTTAAAGGAAAAAGAAACATCTACTTAAAGATCTCTTTTAAAAGTAATGCTAAGTCAGGGTTACATGATATATGATTATTTTCTTCCTTTCTTTTGTGTGTTTGTGTGCTGGTGACTCAGAGCTGAGGTCTGTGCAGGATAGCGAGGAGCTTTTGGTGAATGTGGCCGCCACCATCAACAACCTGTCCTTCTACCAGGAAGAAAGCTCTATACTTACACACAGTCAGCTCAACATCGCAAAGTGTAAGGCTGACCGATCTAAATGCAGACGTGAAAAATAAAAAAACAATGAGAGTGTGTTACTGTTTGTCTGGTTTGCCGATTCCTCTGCTCACTCTTTCTTTGTACTTCAGTGATGCTGAAGTTGGTGCTCAGCTCCAGTATGGACGCCATGCTTGAGGCCACCCGTGTGTATGGAAATTTGTCTCAGTCCAAGGATGTACGGGACTTTATTATGCAAAACAAAGGTATATGATGGACACAAACACCAACCAGTACACACAAAACCCTCCAACATGAGACTGTACCTATTTCACACAGTATTCATTGGCTCTTGCAGGAATGTTGGCCAAGAGATGCCATGTTAGAAACAAAAGCGTAGAATGAAAAAAAGGCTTATGTAACGATGCATTAATAATGTCATCCAAGCACACAACTTTAAAGAAAAATTAGCACTCAGACACAGAACATCCAGTACAGTATCCACCTCTGCACACTGTACTGTCATGTGTAGGCTGGACTTATCTGCAAGGCCAGCTACAGTCAGTATAAACATGCCTGCTGACTCTGGTGATAGAAGCTTTCTTATCTTTGCCCTGCTTTGTCCTCCATCACGCTGTCATCTTTCTCCGTCTCTCTCTCTCTCTCTCTCTCCCTCAGTGCACCAGTTTTTAGTGACGCTGCTGGACTCACAAAGCACAGAGATGTGTTTTTCAGCCTGCGGGGTCCTCACCAACCTGGCTCTGGACCCCCCCAACAGGGTCAGTCTCTCACTAGAGGGGGCTGCTGCCAAGTAAGGACAAATGCACTTAGATATTAAGAGTTTGTTTGTGTGTGTGTGTGTGTGTGTGTGTGTGTGTGTGTGTGTGTGTGTGTGTGTGTGTGTGTGTGTGTGTATATATGTATATGATGTACATAAAAACAGTAATTAGGGCACTGGTTAGCTCACCTGTCAGAGCACCCTCACCATATTCAAATTCTAAGTCCTTAGCGTAGAGTCCTGGGTTCGGTTCCAGCCTGCTGTCCTTTTCTACATGTCATCCCGTCTCTCTCTCCCACATTTCCTGTCTCTCTCTTCAGCTGTTCTATCACATAAAGGCAAAAAATAGATTAATTAATAGCAAACTGGCCTAAACCTCTCTGAGTTTTTGGCAAACATAGCATCCTCTTTGCAACGAGGAGTAAACAGGGTTTTTGGGGGGAAATATTGTCTTCATTCTGACAAACATGAGCACAACAACTCCACAGGCATGATCAAGATGCTACTAATCATCTCAACCTTGATGTAATTTGTTCACAGTGGTTATAATTACTGTCAATTTAGATTCATTTCTACAATTTGAAGACATGGGAACTCGAAATGGAACAAATTATGTGACCCTCTATCTATAGTGTAAGCTTCCCTCCAGCACTGCTTTAACATTTAAGTCCTTATTTCCCCTTTACAAACACACACACACACAATCCTCTTTCAGATGTCGGTCCAATGAAGTGGAGCTAATGGCCACAAACCCACCAGTCATGTGAATCCCTCCTCCCTTGAGTCATACGATTTATGTATGTGTGATGTGTGTGTGACCAGGCTCGTGGACTGTTTGAAAGACTTTGGACCAGGTGATTGGCAGTTGGCGGGCCAGGTCTGTCAGGCGCTGTGGAACATGATTGGCGGCGGCTCTGAGAAACTGCTGGACACACAGGAGGGAGAGTCACTGTTGGAGATCCTCACTACATACTTAGGTTGGTGCAGCAGTGTTATTCCTAATCCTTACATAACAAGGGAGGGATTCATGCTGGAAAGAACATGCTCTTATTCACATCAGTGGCCCTCAGGGGGAAGGGAGGGACACACACATCCCCCACTTTCACGAACATAATACCTCCGTCAGATGTTGGAGGTGCCAGAATTGAAAACCTGTCACTGAAAAGTATTCAAAATAAACCTGAAACTTCCAACTATCCTCTCTCATCCTTTGCCCACTGGTTTTAATTCATTCCTTAGACAAAGAAGAGGCTTTGAAGTGGATAGAAGATGAAGATATGAGGGACTTCCACAGGGCATGCTGGGAGTTAGAGTTCCTCCCTGTAGCTCAAAAACTGATGAAGACGCTCCAGCCTCCAGACCGTACAGCTTGACAAACTGGGACATGAAGTTAAGAGTTTCATGTTGTGATAGAAACCTTAGATTTTTTATTTTTTTAATATTTAACCCAGAGTCCATAATATAACTATTAAACGCTTACAGGTGGCTGTGAATGTTTGTATTTTTCTTTTTTAATGGATAAAGCAGGTGTGGTTGGATTGAGTCAGTCAGTTACAGTGGATTCTGTTGTTGGATATTCAGGGCAGAAAAAAATCAAAACATCCTTAAAAACATCTCAACTCACTGCTGAAGCATTGATCACTTTTCCCTCCCCTGTCCATCCATATGCTCAAGTATGTTTCAAATGGTCATACATTTGCTCAGTTATAGCTAAATACTTGAGATTTAAGCTGACTATTTTGTTTTTGCAGCTAGTTTTAAGACATACAGATGGTCAGTGTATCATATTCAAAACAATAGGCTAATAAAGGTCATCATGCAAAATATTTGCAATTTGTAATTTGTATAAATAGTAAAATGTAAGCATATGAAGATATTCTCAGTTCTATGCATTTCATGTCATGTATTTATTGCATTTAATGCAATGCATTTTTGTAACAATTTTCCCCTTTAAATGCACTTTAATTCCCATAGTTTGCAGAAGCCTTAATTTCTGGGTATCCTCACATGTACAGGGATAATTTAAAACAAGCTCTTTGCACATTTATGTAACAGACTCATCTGTGTTTTAAAGGTTATTTTATGACAATGATGTCTTGATAACAGATGACTGGCATGGAGTGGCTCTCATAAGGAAAGCTTTTGTTGTCTGTGGATTGTGTGACATTGGAACTTGTACATAATAAAGCAGAACAGTTTTGCTTCTCAAAGCCTTTATTGTTACACATATATGGGGCCAGGCATGGCTTACAAGTTACAGCAAGTAGCCTAAAGTACAGCATTTCAAAAACACATCGTTATTACATTGAAACAAATCAGGAACCGCGGTGTCAGTTCTCCCAGTTTTCACACAATAGTGACCTTAAAACAACCACAAGACAAGCTGATGTTTCAAAAACCCCTAAACAACGCATTGGCCAGTGCTAATAACAAACATTGTTCTCTACATAGAATTTATCAGGTTGATATGAAAGACAGTTGGCTGGCTGATATTGAAGGTTGCTTAGTAAATGTTTCCTATCCCAAGTATTGTCTGGGAAAGCCACCAAAATGTGAAGGCAGTGTGGTCGGAGGGTTTCTCCTGGCAATTGAGAATTGACAGATTGGCCTCTGTGGAAAACACCCTGAAGTTTTTTTTTGAGGATTACCAGCCTCATCGGGGAAGTCAAGGATTTTCCCAGGGAGGAGTGGAATGGGGGCAAACAGGAAAGAGAGGTATGGTGTCCTACAAGGAATCCCCCCTTATCTCGAGCCAAATGTAGGTCGGGAGCAAAGAGAAACCTTGACCTTGAACGCACCACAGGAACAGGGACCATTATTTGGTTCCCTGAGTCATACAGATCTCAAGCTTGTACAGTAAAATGAAATTCACATGAAAGTCCATGGACCGTACTGATGACAAACTGAACTGTTCCCCTGAGTTCAGCTTACTGTTGATGAAGTCAGCTTTATTATCAAAGAGCTGAGAGTACTTTGGAACATAAGGTGATTGAATAAACACTCCATGTCTTTTCATGAGTCACCTTTTGCATAGCAGCATTCAAATATGCTTACTAATTACCATGGGTTATACTTGTGCAACTGAGCAGTGGAAGTGAGCCGATGGTGATACTGATTGTGCAGTGACCGTTGATGAATTGTGTAGGCCTCTCCAAATTGAGTACAATTTCTTTGATGAAGCAATGCATTCAAATTGTTTAGGAGAAAACTACGAATGATACACAACAATTCAATATGATAGTTTATTTCTCGTCTTTTTTTTTTATATATATATATTTTCATATAAAAAAAGTGTCAGTAACTGACATCAGTCAGAAGTTTGGAAAAAAAAATCTCCACTTTCTCTCAAATCACTTCCAAATGTACCATTCTTTTATCATCATCATCACCACCTCCCTCCTCCAGGTATCACTCATTCATCTGTCTTATTCTCTCAATCCACCCTCAGAAGAATGCAGTACACAACTGGTTTTAGTAAACAAAAAAACAAAACTTTTTTTTTTTTTTTAAAACAACAAAAACACAAAAGCGGCTTTTGCGCTGGTTAGACTTCCCCAGCAGGGATATAAGCACAGCTACAACCTTTTGCGTTTGACAACTGTCAACCGCAGTCGGCCCTGTGTGGGCTAGCCAGGTCCCAGAGAAATGGGAACATGGCAGCCCAGAAAGAGTCTCTGCTCACCAAAGAGCACTTCTTATATGTTTTCAAGAGAAAAACAGAAGAGGTATTCATTACTGGTAAAATTCACAATCCAAAGCTTTGAAAGTGTTAGGGTGACCAGGCAGCTGGGATAAGCGGAAGACAGAAAAGGTGTGGTTAGGGCAACCGGAAGCAAATCCCTCCTGGAAAACCTGGTTTCCAACTTTCTTTTTTATTAGCTTTTTTTCTCCCCAGGAAAATAAAGACATCCTCAACAATAAATGATAAACAGTTACCTCACAATAACAGAGCTACAGCAGAAGCAAGAAGTCTTCCCTTCAAAGTGCCTCGCTTTTTTTGACACATGAAATTCAAAGAAGACTTTTTTCCCCTCCGTCATTTCTGTGAAACACACACACACACACACACACCTCAGTCAACTCATCCACACGTGTACAGTCAAACTCAAAAAGGGCTCAGTGTTCTTTGAGTTTCTTTCCACATCTCTCTAATTTCCACACACTCCTTGGATTAGCTTACATTGACGTTTGAGATTTGGGATAGGGGGTAGAGGACAAGTGGGAGGGGGGTAATGCAATGGATTTCAAATGGATAGGGGCTTAGGGGGACGTAATGGGGTTGGGGTGGGTGATTTAGGGATCAATATGACCCCGCTGGATACAACATTGGAGCAGCAGCATCAGCACATCACGCACACTGTGCTGGATAGTTCAGGCACACGTAAAAAAAAACAAACAAACAAAAAAACACTGCCCAAAGTTAATGATTCCATCTCCAGTTACTACTAACAGCAACCACATCGACAACAACATCCTCTTCCCTTAAAAAGATAATAAAGAAACTAAACAAATATAACAGTGACAACAGAATCAAAATGCAGACTGTTTCTGGCTGCATAGCTTTCTGGGTGGTTTTTGTGAGTCTTCACTCTGCCAGGGGGCCAAAGAGATTGGCAACAAACGTGTTGCATGCTGGAATACTGAACTGTCGACCTGGATGCCTCTGGTATCAGTGCTCAGGCCGGACACAAACTCCCCAGCAACGCAGTAGTTTGCTCCAGGCTGCCCTCTCATGGACAGTTTTGGCACTGCAGGCAACACAATCTGTGTTGAGTATCCACTTGTAGTTTGAGATGACTTTCTTCAACATTTCTCTCTTTTTTTTCTTTTTTTTCTTCATTTGTTCTGATCCTCTTCTCAACATCCATCCGACAAGCACCGTCAAAACCCAGGCCATCTCATCTCTCTTGCACATTTTTGTTGTATCCCCGTCACCCACCCCCCGCCCCCCTTTGATTTTCCTTTTTTTTTTTTTTTCTTCACCTTCCTCTCTTCTCTTTGAAGTGTCCCATAGTGAGCAACAACAATGACAGTAAAAAGACAACGATAAAAACGCCAAAAGCACTTCATGTCATGTAGCGGGTGATCGCTCTCAGAGCGTATAACAGTTCTGCCTGCATTCGCGCTTCCATTAGAAGCAGATTAACGTGGACCTGCAGGAGAAAGGAGAGAGAAAAGGGGACAGTTATGAAACACTGTACGTTAATCAATTAAGATAGCTGCTACGGACCAGGCCAGGAGAGGATATCAGGATCTTACCTTCTCGGAGTGCTGAAACTGCCTCCAGAAGCTCTCATACATTCGTTTGGTGGTCTTCTCAGGACTACACACCATGGTCTTAATATAGATCTTAAAGCTACGGTCCAGAAGCTGGTTAATCTCCCCGTAATCATAGTCATCATACCTGATGAATACAGAGAAACAGCGTTAGGGAAAAGAGAGGCAAAGTAATGGTTACATCATACAACAGGACAAAGTTTCTAGCGACTGACCTGATGCCAAACATGCAGTGGATGTAGTTCCAGATGGCCCTGCGCAGCATGCTGGTGTCCACATCCTTATGTGTTGCCATGGTGTTGTAGGTCAGATTGTAGGCCATCTGGAACTTCTCGTCCAGCATCTGACCAACATCCGGGTACAGTCTGTTGACCAGAGAGAAACCGTGATCCTCCCAACTGTAGTCCTAGAGAAAAAGAGAAATAAGAAGTAAATAACAGCTATAAAAAAAAACATGTATTACAAAAATACTGTACTCTATATTCAGCCTGTTTATTTTTTTTATCTCTACCTGCACTCTGAATGTGGGCACATGCTCCCCCCTCCTGGAGAAGTCCTTGTAGCCGTAGCTGGGGTCCTCAAAGTGTCGGGAGATGTCTCTGGAGGGAACACATTCCTCGTCCTCCGCCGTGACCACCAGCATGCTCTCCGTCTTCTCCCTCTCAAAGCGAGTCGCCATCTCCTCCTGGCTAGCCTCCTCGTCGTCGCGGCACTCCTGCAGCTGCTTCATGCGCTCCATCAGCACCTCCACCTCGCCACACATCTCCTACGGAAAGGGCAAGAGAGAAAATACAACGTTAGAAAAGAGTCGTACAATAAACTCCCAGTTTTGTGGGGAATTTAGGACTTCTTCAGTGTCACATAGTAGTGAGACAACCTTAGCTTGCGCTCACTTTTATCCCTCTAGCTCACTGCACACACACACCATCCTTTACCACTCACCTGGTTGCCAAGCGGATCATCATGGTGATTAGCATGACCGTTGCCATTGGCAATGTCACAGACGCAGTACTGGCTGAGGGAGGGGGGTCTGAAAGTGTGTCCGCCGTCGCAGTGGATCTCGGGTGTGATGCCGCAGCCGAATGTGAACGAGGCGAGGGAGTGGTAGTGTGTGAGGAGGACTACGGCATGGATGAGCTCTGCAAGGGACCAGCTGTGTTCCTCTGCCTTAAGAAGGCCCTGGAAAAAACAAAAGGAAATTGTGGGTCCTGGCAAGTGGAGCCAAATAATGACTTCAATATAAGAGACCTTTTAGGATGTGGAAAAATATGCCTCCTTCTCCCTTTCACTATACCTCCCCTGCTATAACTCCCAAATCCATCCAAGTTAGCCTCCACCCATGATCTCAAGCCTGTTATGTAAGACTTCTCATGTCCAGATCCACCCTCCAGACCATGCCATGTCCACTCACCTCCATGTGTTCCTTGGTGAGAAGCCAAGGCCGGTGGGCCAGGATTTTGTTGAGCTCCCCGAGCTGCTGCAGCTTCTGCGGGGCTTCATCCAGGCCGTTCAGCCACTTGGGATCACCCCCGACCTGGAGGAAGTCGTTCACATGCAGGTTGACCAAGTAGGAACACTGGTGCCTAGCGGCTGCCTGTGGAGTCAGAGGAAAAAGGATATTTTAACCATGAGACATTTAGCTGCCTATCAGAGAAACAGTTAAATGAGGCGTGGATTTGAGGATTCAGGAGTATAAACGTGACCGTACCATGATGCCAATGTAGTGTCGGTAGTGCAAAGAGAGCGGCCCATCCATTTGCAGCAAGTAGTGCTGCGTCCGGAGAAAACTCTCCAGGTACTGCGGGTGAAAGCCCATCACCAGAGAAATGTTGTCGAGGCGACCGAGGGCTGCAAACGCATCCTCAAATATTGACTGTGTCCGGGTGTCCACTTTACTGACTTTCAGAATCTGACACAAAAAAACAACAATAAGTTGTAAGTTGTAAGTTGTAAGTAAGCATATATAATAAGTTTTCTCACATAAACATCATGTTTAGAAATTAGTTAAAAGTCTCTGCTGAGGTTATCCTGTTGTGTACCTCTTTTTCAGGGATGAATCTGCTTGGTCCGTTACCTAAGGGTCTTGGGATCCTTACTCCCAAGTCCTGCAAGAAAAAAAAAAGAAACAAAATACATGCTCTTTAAATACCACAGGAAAGCAAAGGAGAAGCTCCTAGGACAGTTTGCCTGAGATCATCACTTCTCTTTTCCCCTGTTTCTACTGTCACTTTATTGATTCACCAGAGAAATCAGAGTGGTATCGTTTGCCTGACACAGGTAAACCTGTCGGATCCTTACTGTTCTACAGAGAATAAAACTGCGATTAAAAAAAAGGCTTTCTCCATTGTAAAAAGCAACATGGAACTCTTCGCAGCCTCACAATAAATGAATGCATAAAAGCAGGATTAGACAAATTTAAACACAGTAGAAACATTTACATCGCCTCTATTGTTAACCTGTAACTTTCCGCTGCTTGTCGGGACATGTCTACTAGCGGACACCGTCCCGCAGCGGACGAAGTGGATAAATGAATGACCACAAAATGCGTATTATTCGGGAATGACACCGGGTTAAAAACAAGCCTCTGAACGTGTCATTTACATGTCGACTGCTTTGGAAGTGACATCAACAAAGAAAATAAACCCAGAAACGACTTCTTGTCCGATGCCCACAAACTCTTCTAACTCGTAAACAAGCCTGCACAAAAGACTGCACTGCAGCTTAGGAAAAACGTCGCCTAAAAACGTCAATATTGTGACAAAATCTTCTAAATTCCAACGCCAGCTCGAAGCTTTAAAAGCGGTGCCTTTTGAAAGACTGTTATATGCCATTGAAGCCTTTTTCTTTCTCTTACCTTTTTGCTTAGCCGTTCACAATGGGTACATATCTTTAACAGGTTTGTCACTGAAAAAGAATTATTTTCCACGTTTTCTGCCGGTGCGACCGCGTGCCTCATCTCGTGTCCTCGCTGCACTTTGATTATTTTACGGGTATAAAAAATTGTAAAGCGTTTTCTGAATGGCTGTGTCCTCCTCTCTTTGTTCCTTGAGGCACTGGGTAAAGTGCTCGGCAGTCAGCTGTTGCAGTCCTGAAGCAGAATACCGTCCTCTCTCGCGCATACATTCAGTAAATAAGTCGGGGCTCGTGTGATTGACGTGCTCAGCGGCCAATCAGGTGACGAAAACAGCCTGCCGGCAGCCAATGGCGGCGGGGGGAGCGCTTGCGGGCGGAGCTAAGCGTGAGGAGCGAGAGAGAGGGGAGGGGGTCCTAAACGTGAGCAGAGGGAACAATCCCCTCTCTAAGAAAACATCATCACTTCTCTCTGCTTCTTTTGTTCCCTGCTGCCATTGATCATGATTGAATTCACAGTTAGGCATTGCACCCTGTATGATTAATGATGGCAGCAATTGATTCAAGCTGATTGCTGCTTGGCTTTCATCTCCTATCAATACTTAAATCAATGATCATGGTATCTGCAAACCACCTTGCAGGACTACTAGAAAACAGTTTTCTGTAACACCGCCAAGTGTAGCTAGAAAAAGGCATAAGTGTGTGTTATCTGTGTAATGTGAATTCAATGAAAACAACAACAGCTCTAGCATGAAGCGGCAAGTCCCCGGCTTTTTTTTGGGGAGGGGGGTAAACTGAGCCCTCAGCTGTCCTTGGTGAGCAGCAGAAGAAGGTAGGTCTGCTGTGCAAAGATCTACATCAGCACGCAGCGATATGGATAGCTGAGGGATCTGCTGCAACAACAGCCCTTCAGTTAGTGGTTTTGCACCGCAGCCTATCAGAAGGAGTCCTTTAAAAGGCAGGAGGAACCAGAGATAAGGAAGGCAGCTCTTATTGCTTTGTTTATCCAAGCTTGACAATAACACGTTCACTGGAACCATATTTAAGTAGTTAATCACATTTCTGTGGTTAGAAAGTCAATAATTACTTGGAATTATATCAGATGAGATGCACTGAAAACACTGATATTATATTATTATATATACAATATAATATCCACCTTATTTCAACCAGGCAAGTCTGTCACTTTGGACATGATTTGTACCAGAAGTTGCATACTTGTCTTTGAAATTGCTGGTAAACAGTTGTATATTCATGTAGAAGCACATGTGAGTCAACTGTTGTTTCTTCGGTGAATTGCCAGCAGCCACGTTACAAAAGCATCCTCATATTGGTCCAGTATATAGATAGACACATGCATGCACATCTGTGCGTCATATTTCTGTGTGAGATTTCAAAATAACATGTTTCCCAAGCAAAAAAGAAAATAATGTTTTCTGAGAAAAAGGCTAATTTTATGTGAGGAAAACAACACAATATTTTTGATTGTTTGAAAAAAGTCGGACATTTTGTGAGACTATTCTCGTTTCAGTTCATCCTTACTGCAACAACTCTGGTTATGTCTGGGTGAAAAGTGAAGGGCAGACAAGAAAGGTACTGTACATGACGAGGGGATGGTGAGAGGAAAACAAGAAAAGGCAAGTCTGCCCCTGTGCACTCCAATCAGGAGCCTGCCTGGCCAGTTCGGCGACCGACTGCAAGTCCCCAGTGCCGATAGCTGGATAGCACAGTATTCAGCAGGTTCATTATGTGGTTCTAGCCAAACACCCCCCGCACCCCACCTCTCCCTCCCCCCCGGTCCCACTCCTGATGCCACAGGGTGGGGTGCGAGGCAGCAGTAAACATGTTCCCAGGGCTGGAGTCAGCACTCCCAGGGCTGCTGGGAGCCCCATGGCTCAGCAAAGCTGCAGAAGAGGCTGGTCAGCGTTAGGGCTTACGACACACCAAACCTTTTCACATAAAAGCGCTTAGGCTCGGGGGTCCGGCCTCGTGGACAGGGCCAAACACTATTGTCAGAGTGCACGCACTGACTACTCTGTGACGCTTGACTGTACTCACATTAGGTGTATGTGTGTATATGCAGGAATATGTGCTCCTTCTTAGATCAAGGCTGGTCTCAGAAAGCCAGGTCCAAATGATAAAAAGTTGCTTGTTTGTAGTCGGTATCCACAGATGAATTATACAAAAGCAAACCAGAGCATGTAAACAAGTTACATGGAATTATAAGAAGCTTTTGTCATCAAAACACTAAATATCCATGTAACATTATACGTATGCTCTGCAGAGATTGGGAAAGCTCAAGAAATATTCAGTAAGCAGACCTTGAATTAAAGTATTTGTTTTAAACTACACTTCCCATTCCAGTTCCTGTATCTTTACGAAAGTGAGGTGAACTGCTCTGCACACTTGGACTTCATTTTATGTAAATTTAAGAAAATGACAGACATATATATTATATAAGTTTGGAGTTAGTATAATATGCCTGGCTTGTATTGCAACCTGTAAGACTGAGTGTCTTTTGAAGCTGATTCAGAACACAGTGTGACTTATAAGAAACCACACTGCAGGTGTCTCGGGTTAGACCTACATCTTTAGGCGTTTCTGTTATTTGATGTCACCTACAGTGAGACTGAATGTCATTGTTCTTCAGTGGCCAATCGCTGCAAATTGCGTAAGGAAATTATCTGAAGATCCAATTAACCACTCCAAACATCCTTGTTATGATCATGCTTCAAAGAATGAGCATGTAGACACTTTGTTACCTGCTCTTTTAATCTTACAAGACAACACAGCGGCAGAGATGCTCATTAGCTGTTGTAAGAGATAAACCACTGACCTTTTAGCTGTGGGATGGCCACTAAGCCACAGTGCCACCCTGGAGATTTAACTGTGCAAGTGTGTAAATGTGTTTGTATGTGATGGGAGTATAGAGGTTAGGACAACATTGGGACAATTACTTATGACGGAGGAAAGGCTCCTGGAATCATCTCAAATTTGTTTAAACAGTGTGTATATAATCAGATAGTGAGCCATTGGAGGAAAGGCCTTAACAATGGACACATTTCCACAAGTCTTACAGTAACAGTAATGAAAATATTCCCTTTAAGAATCATAGCCAAGAATATTGCTCAGACACTTCCATTATAAGAAGCGGTTTTCTGCTCATTCACAGCTACCATTTTAACACAACTGCAACTTATTTAAAGTGTGACTACATAACTTTTCAAAGATGAAATAACACAATCTTCCTTTTACAAATTAAAAGTTGAATTTGTAAGTATTCAGTACACTTTGGTGATATAGCCCTCCACTGCCTGGTATGACCAGTAGTTTATGATGGCTAATGTAAGCAAAAGATTTTGTGACTATTCTCCGCTTGTGCTACCGTAACACTTCATTTTAGCATCGACCATTATGCCATAATTGCTTCTTATGGCCAGACAGGCAGTAACATAGGCTCACTTTAATACATGAACCAGTGCCCCTAGAAATGTAATGCCTACTTTTTACATGAGAGCATCAACTTATACACAATTCATGGAGGAGGAAGGAGCACACAGTTTAGAAGTTGTATTTCACCCACTCTGGTGAAAAAAAAGATGAATTTGATAAATAACCATCCATTTTAATTAATCCATTTTGTCCACTGACCACTATAAACTTTTTTACAGACTACCCTTAGGGTCTACAAAGTAAAAAACAAACTTAGTATCACTCAACAAAGCATCAAATATATTCCAGAGAAATGCAACAGATGGCATGTTGTTAGAACATTTTACAACAAGCTAAGAAAGTGGATACTAAATGTGGAACAAACAATTAGTAGTTTTAAAGCAAAGCAGCTCTTTCATTACCATCTACAGTCTACTGTCAAGGATTAGTTCACTTAAGTTTTTATAAGTAATGGCAGCTACTTTCTCAAACACTCACAAAAGCAGTTGTTTTATCCACTTTTTAGTGTAAAGCAGAATTAACAACAGCCATAAACCAATAAAGAGGATGATAAAAGTTAATAAGATTAAAAAAACAAAGAGAGGAAGCCATGCCAGGTATAAACTCTGCACATATGTGTCTCAGCGCTGCGGCTGCTGTGTTTTCTCATGCAGTAAGACGTGAGGGAACCGCAAAAACTGTGGGGATGTTCAACAAGTGGTAGAAGTCCACCAGACCATTTCAAACCTAACCTATCACTGCACAGAGGAGAGGAAGCAGAAAACTCTCGAACACTGGCATAAGCCTAGCAACAGGCTTCCAC